CTGTTTTTATTACAATAAACTGTTTCTCTTCCACTTTCAATTTCAAATTAGAAAGGATTGCACCAATACAATTACAGAATAAGGCCAATCAAATCCCATAATGTTAAGTTAAAGCATTTTTTTTAAACTTTTATTTAATGCATATAAATTTCCAAAGTACGACTTATGGATTACAATGGCTTCCCCCCCATACCGTCCCTCCCACCCACAACCCTCCCCTTTCCCACTCCCTCTCCCCTTCCATTCACATCAAGATTCATTTTCGATTATCTTAATATACAGAAGATCAGCTTAGTATACATTAAGTATGGATTTCAACAGTTTGCTCCCACACAGAAACATAAAGTGAAAAATAATAGATGATTTTTTTAAATGATGATGAAATCAGAACAGACCTATTGTCATGTTTAATCCCAGTGAGAGTCAAGTTGGGAATTGATAACTTCTTTTTATTTTTTTTTTTTTTTATAGAGGATCAGTTTAGTATGCATTAAGTCAGACTTTCAGCAGTCAGCAAGCCGGATAGTCACACGAAGTGACAATATATTGTCTGAGTTCGCGTTATAGCAATAAATCTCAACGTACAGCACACTGCGGATAGAGATCCTACATGAGGAGTAGGCGCACAGTGATGCCTGTTGCTGACTTTCCCCAACTGTCACTGTGGTCTATGCAACCAGTAATCTCCCTATGCTCCAGTCATGAGTATGCAAGACTACGAAAGCCCTCGGAGTTCTCCGACTCTTATCTTGTTTAGACAAGGTCATAGTCAACGTGGAGGTTCTCTCCTCCCATCAGAGAAAGGTACCTCCTTCTCTGATGACCTGTTCTTTCCACTGGGATCTCACTCGCAGAGATCTTTTTGCCAGAGTGTCTTGGCTTTCCATGCCTGAAATACTCTCATGAGCTTTTCAGCCAGCTCCGAATGCCTTTAGGGCTGATTCTGAGGCCAGAGTGCTATTTAGGACATCTGCCATTCTATGAGTCTGCTGAGTATCTCACTTCCCATGTTGGATCACTCTCCCCTTTATTTACTCCATCAGTTAGCGTTAGCAGGTACTAGACTTGTCTATGTGCTCCCTTTGACTCCCAGTCCCTTCACCATGACCAACTGTGAACTGAAACTGATCACCTGGAACAGTGAGATGGCATTGGTACATGCCACCTCGATGGGATTGAATTGGAATCCCCTGGTATGCTTCCAACTCCACCACTTGGGGCAAGTCAGCCTGAGCATGTCCCAAATTATACATCTCTTCCCTCTCCCATTCCCACCACCATGTTCAACAGGGATCACATTTCAGTTAATTTTCAACACTTAAGAATAACTGTGCATCAATTACAGATCTAAACCAGTCATATTAAGTAGAACAGATAAAAAAACTACTAAGAGGGATAATGTATTAAGTTGTTCATTAACAGTCAGGGCTATGCTGATCAAGCCACCATTTCCCATAGTGTCCACCTCACTCCAACAGGTTTCCCTCTTGGTGTTCAGTCAGTCGTCACCGATCAGGGAGAACATATGATATTTGTCCCTTTGGGACTGGCTTACTTCACTCAGCATGATGTGTTCCAGATTCCTCCATTTTGTTGCAAATGACTGGATTTCGATGTTTCTTACTGCGGTATAGTATTCTAAAGAGTACATATCCCATAATTTCTTTATCCAGTCTATCGTTGATGGGCATTTAGGTTGGTTCCAGGTCTTAGCTATTGTGAATTGAGCTGCAATAAACATTAGGGTGCAGACCTCTTTTTTGTTTGCCAATTTAAATTCCTTTGGGTAAATTCCAAGGAGTGGGATGGCTGGGTCGAATGGTAGGGTTATCTTCAGGTTTCTGAGGAATCTCCAGACTGACTTCCATAGTGGCTTGACCAGTTTGCATTCCCACCAACAGTGGGTTAGTGTCCCCTTTTCCCTGCATCCTCTCCAGCATCTATTGTTGGTAGATTTCTGTATGTGAGCCATTCTAACCGGGGTGAGGTGAAACCTCATTGTGGTTTTGATTTGCATTTCCCTGATTGCTAATGACCTTGAACATTTTTTCATGTGCCTGTTGGCCATTTGGATTTCCTCTTTTGAAAAATGTCTATTGAGGTCCTTGGCCCATCTCTTAAGTGGGTTGTTGGTTTTGTTTTTGTGGAGTTTCTTGATCTCTTTGTAGATTCTGGTTATTAACCCTTTGTCTGTTGCATAGTTTGCAAATATTTTTTCCCATTCTGTCGGTTGTCTTTTCACTCTCCTGACTGTTTCTTTTGCAGTACAGAACAAGCGTGATTTTATCTGTGGGGATTCTTCAGTAGAAAATGATCTCAAGAGCTACTTTGTTGTGTGCTGTCCTTTAAGATCTGTATCTTGGTCAACTTATTTAAATTTTTTTTCTAGTGTTGTCTTTGTTTGTGTGTCTGTGTATTGCCATATTCATTCATTTGACAGCAATAATTGATTAAGAGTATGAGAGAGAGAGAGAGAGAGAGAGAGAAAGAGACACAGAGAGAGAGAGAGAGAGGGAGAGAGAATAAGAGGTAAGAGATGCAAACAATAAGAAATAAGAAAATGGGCTATTCCTTCATGGATTTTTTTTCTTGTGTCTTTTATTCTCAAAATAAGTCTAATGTAGCTCTACATTGCCTTTTATGTATACTGACAGCATAAAAATCAATACTTAATGGTTTCTAAAATAGACCAATTTTCATATTTCATCCTAGGATGCCTATAACTATATTCTTAGTTAAATTATTATATATTCAATATGCTATCATTGAATTCCCCTTTCTCTTCTGTTTTAGCACTATATCACTTAAGTTTGTAATTTAAAACAAATGGCTGCTCACATCACATGGATATTTACATATCATACTAATAGTGACCATATATTTTTATTAAGTTGGGGCCATTAATCTTTGAACCATTTATGTTGATTTTGTCTAGTTTTGACACTAAAATATAAATAAGTGACAGTAGATATAGTCCAAGAATGATTATAATTGTTTTCATCATTCCCTGTAACTTCTTTAAATTCTTAACTGATTATTGACTAGTCACATTACTCATGATGATGCTTGCAGTTTTGTGCTGGGAAGATCATATCATTCCTATCTAGCTTCACAATTAATTTTGCAGCTCTTACTCTTATTGAATCATATTTGTCATATCACTGTTTGTTTATCTACTAATGGGATGTCATATATTTCAAAATTAATAATATATGACACTCATTGGGATTTTGATCTCCAAATAAACTGAAATAGAATATGACTTGTTTCTATTTCATATGCCAAAGTCATAGCCGTATAATTGATGTATGTCAGAAACCTAGACATACAAATAGCACAAATGGTTTCAGTTTTGCATACTAATTTGGAGATTTAAATCCAAAACACTTCCAAAACTTGTCTTTCTCATATTTCTTTATATATTTAATGTTTAAATTACTTTCATTCTAACTTTACTTATTAAAACTTATTGAGTATCTACTATATGCTTGGCATTATGTTAGGTTCTGGGGATTCTGTGATTGAAAAAATAAATCTTGGGCTGGAGTTATGGCAAATAGGTTAAGCTGCCCCCTGTGATGCAGGTATCTATATGGCACTGGTTCAAGTCTGGCGTCTCCACTTTCCATTCAGCTCCTTGCTAATGGCCTGAGAAAAGCAGCAGTGGATGCATTTTTGCCGAAGCATTTTTGGCCCCTGCTACCCAAGTGAGAGACCCAGATGAGACTCCTGGCTTCAGCTTGTCCCAGTTCTGGCTGTTGCAGCCATCTGGGAAGTGAACCAGTAGATGAAAGATCGATCGATCTTTCTTTCTCTCTCTTTCTCTCTCTCTCTCTCTCTCTCTCTCTCTCTCTCTTTCTCTCTCTTTCTTTCTCTTTCTTTCTCTTTCTTTCTCTTTCTTTCTCTCTTTCTCTCTCTCTCTCTCTTCCTCCCTCTTCCCTCCCTCCCTCCCTGAATTTCTGAATTTCAATTAAATAAGTAAATCTTAAATACATAAATCCCTTGTCCTTAGTAAGACCCCATTCACATGGAAAGCAGTGTGAGAGCGGTGCTAGCACAGAAGGGGCATGAAGGAAGGAAGTGCACTTTAGTCAAACTTTGGGAGTTGATAAAGAAAACATGGAACAAATCAACAAAGACTTCCTGGGGGAGAAAACTGGGCTGATTTGGCAGAGAAGACAGTGTTTGTCAGGAGGATGACTGGAGGGAACACATTTTAGAAGAGGAGCTAGGACTTTGCATTTGTTTAGGGAAACAAATGCTTTCAGTTCACCAGGACTCAAGACTGAAACTGAAGTTCTAAGAGATGGAATGTGACAAGTAAGCAGAGGTCATTAATAGAAGCTCTTTCAGGAATTTGGACTTTAATCTGGATATGTTAGTGTTAGCTGTGCCTATGAAATTTGTATTCATTAAATAAAAGCTTTCTTAAAAAATTTAAAAATGAAGATTTTAAGTAAGGAAGTGACAGTGAGTAGTAGAATGGAGTCAATCTTATTAGAAAGGCTGTTCTAGCAACACTGTTGAGACTGGACTTGAACAGAGAATGGCTGGAGGGAGGGTGGTTACTTAAGAGGGCATGCATGGGGCTAGGAGAAGGGGAGGGGAAATTGACTGTCTCATGGGCTATGAAATTATTAGTAGAATCTGTTTAATGAACAAGTTAACGTGAACACTATAGAAGGAGTCCAGAAAAACTTCTGTTTCCGGGGAGAGTACACTGGTGCCATGCACTTAGACTCAGGCAGTGCGGATAGAGATGAGGAATGAGCGGAGAGAAGAGGAGGTCTACTGTGGATATGTTAAGTTCATCCATGTACAGAGTACACATCTGGGTTCAGGGCAAGGGAGAGGGGCAGGAGATTACATTTAGAGATCCTGAAATCGAATCAGTTTCAATCCTTAATAGCATGTATAATTTCACTGAAAAAAAAAAAAAACCTGTTCTATATTCCAAGACCATCTTTCACCTGCCCCATTCTTCTTGCACCCTCCCCCAGAGGACTGGTATGAACAGTTGTACCCCCTGATCCTCACCCTGAAGGACTGCATGGGAGAAGTGGTGAACCGAGCCAAACAGTCCCTGACATTTGTGCTGCTCCAGGAACTTGCATACAGCTTGCCCCAGTGTCTGATGCTGACGCTAAGAAGAGACATCGTCTTCAGCCAAGCAGTAGGTGCCTGCTGTTGTCTGTGCAGAGCAGTGTGGAACTGTTACCCTGCCATCCTTGATGCTGATAGAGTACTCCTTTTGCCATTTTATTTTTAAAGAGATGCTTTCCTTAAAGATCTGATACCCAGTGTTTCCTTATGCATGATAAATACCAGAGTTTAGGTATGTATTTCTACAGGAGATGGCCGAGTTTGTGAAATGCATGATCTGTGTCACAGGCCATGGAGTCTTTGAAGCAAGGAAAACCCATTCTTGTATTATGCTGTGGGGTCTGCATGCTGTGTATGGGAAGGGAACAGCCTTGCAATGCACATGACCAGCTAAGACTCGGCAAAAGAGATCCCTTTATTTACACAACTTCTACAAGGTTCTACCATGATCTCTTATGAAGTTTTAAAAAGTTTGCAGGGCATAAGACTTGATGAGAGGCTTGGCAGAGCTGCCTTCTCCATTCCCAATACTATTCACATCACCACTGCCAGCCTCCATCACAGGGACCCTGATGGTGCCTGCCTTCACACCTGCTTCTACCCATGTGGGTGAGTTTTATACACAGAAGACAAGCAGGAAAAGAGACCAAAGTCCTCCCCTCTAAACATCCCAGACAAAGGGAATATTTTAGCTGACTCTCCCTGTCACATTTTACTTCCTGGGTAGTCCAGTGACAAATGGATCCACACAGGCCTCGGGCATAATGTTCTGCCTTTTACATATGTCTTCCTTGTGTCCTTCCAGTGACCATGAAATGAGAACTACTGTCTGTACTCTACATGTGAAAAGAACAAGATTTGGAAGTATTTTTTTTTTTTTTGACAGGCAGAGTGGACAGTGAGAGAGAGAGACAGAGAGAAAGGTCTTCCTTTGCCGTTGGTTCACCTTCCAATGGCCGCTGTAGCCGGCGCACCACGCTGATCTAAAGCCAGGAGCCAGGTGCTTCTCCTGGTCTCCCATGTGGGTGCAGGGCCCAAGGACTTGGGCCATCCTCCACTGCACTCCCGGGCCACAGCAGAGAGCTGGCCTGGAAGAGGGGCAACCGGGACAGAATCCGGCGCCCCGACCAGGACTAGAACCCGGAGTGCCGGCGCCGCAGGGGGAGGATTAGCCTAGTGAGCTGCGGCGCCGGCCAAGATTTGGAAGTATTAAACATTCATATGTTTTACGGTTTCACTGTTGGATATGGTGAACACAGAATTGAATATACACCTTCCTGAGTCCACGCCCCTTACCATTTTGCAATACCACCTGCCAAGACTCTCATACAGTGTCTTAGTAGAGCAAAGAATGAAAACTTGTTTTAGTATGTATATATGAATAATTGTAGTTTGTTATACATTCTTGGTACTTTTGAATTCAATTCATGATGCCTCAAAAATCTTAAAATATTTAAAAATTGTAAGCCTCCTGATCCCAGTAAATCTCTTTTGTTGTTGTTGTTGTTTTAGCTTGCTGGATTGGTTTGTGGTTTTATCATCAAATTGCATTCAAGTTTAAATGACCCTGGATTCCTGCAGCAGCTTTATACAGTGGGGTTGATAGTACAATATGAAGGATTGCTGAGTACCTACAGTAAGTATGATGTAGCAGATGTTAAAATTATATTCCTGTTACTAAGGATGTTTAACTTATAATTTTTTGGCAAATAGACGCAAACTGTTGTTTCACCAACTATTACATAAATAACATAACTTAGTTTTTTGTATTCATTCACCTTGTAACTTTTGCTTCTCATTATGTTTTGAAAATGGAATTATAGATTATTTCAGAGTGGACTCTTGAGCAGCCATCTGGCTTTTTGAATATAAAAGGCTTTTTGCCAACATAGTTTCAACGACTGGAGTTTAAAATCTTAACGCTATAATGTCTAGAATTGCACTGTTCAATACAGTAACCTCATGTGGCTTTTGAGCAGTTCAATGTGTCTTTTCAAATCAATATGTGTGAAACATGCACTCAAAGACTAAAAATAATTTCATATTAATAATAATTTTATATTAATGTGCAGTTGAGATTATATTTTGATTACATTGGGCTAGGTAAAGGATGTTCCTTAAAATTTCACTTTGTAATTTTTATTCTTTTAAAAATATGACTACCAAGCGATCTAAAATTCTATCTGCGGCTCACATTATTATTATTGTATACTGCTAATCTAGAATCTTAATTATTTCCTTTCCAGACTTTGTCAGTGTACAGAAATATAAAACTAGCCTGAGCCAGAGTCTTGGTTATCAATTCAGCCATCTCCATTATTTATAGGAATCAAATGTCAGTACTGCCAATGGAAAGAAATCTGCACTTTGTTTCATAAAGGGGTTAAAACCTCTCCAACCTCTCAGGCAATGTGTATGTTCTTTTTTTCCTCAAAGTGTACATTGACTTGTGAAATCCTTTGAGATGGTTCTTTTTTCACTGATGAAAACCTTCAGTCTCTGAGGAAAAGCATTTAGAATGTATTCACTGCCTTCAGAAACTCATTCACTAAAATGCTAGACTAAATTCCAGCAGGGAGGTACAGTAGCCAGTGACATTTTGTGCGAATAGTACATTTGTAACTCAGTACCTTTTCTCTCATTTAGGTGATGAAATTGGAATGCTAGAGGACATGGCTGTTGGCATTTCAGATTTAAAGAAAGTAGCTTTTAAAATCATTGAAGCCAAAACCAATGATGTCTTGCCAGTCATAACAGGAAGACGGTAAGTTGTGCCCATTTCCTTAAGACTAAGCTTTGTTAGATATGCACTGTGTACTGCTAATAAAGGGATCAAGGAAAATTTGGTAATTCGTCTCTGTTCATTTTTCCTCCTTGGTAATAAATAAATGCAGGTGATGTGACCTGAGGAGTTCTTAAAAAATTCCTAAACATCTCAAATATTAGTAAATTGTACTGAAGTGAGTATGGTAGTACTCTCCCATAAAATATGAGAAATTCAAAATAATAGCATGCATGACAAGAACATGCTTCTCTTTATTAATCTAAAACTTTTGATGTTTTTTTCATTTGCGGGAATTGGTCAGTTAATAGTGTCATACTTCTTAAAATGAATTTAATTAAATTCAGTAAAAGCAGAAACATTTTAGAAATGATATATTCCTATGTCAGGGGTATGTACTTCCATTTTTCTTAATTATTTTTGACAATTCACTAAGACTCTGAGATTTCCGAAAAGGATTTTTAATAAATAGCTTTGAAGGTCACTACATGATAAGCAAAATAGCAGAAATAATGAAGAAGAATGATGGTGTATAGAATAGTTCTCTAACACAGGAGTCATATCCTAGGAGAAGTTGATTCTATCAGAAGTCTTCCAAATTTCAACCATTCTCGTGTTAGCATTTTTTTTTTTTTTTTTTTTTTGGACAGGCAGAGTGAACAGAGAGAGAGACAGAGAGAAAGGTCTTCCTTTTCTGTTGGTTCACCCCCCAATGGCCTCTGCAACCAGTGCGCTGTGGCCCGCGCACCGTACTGATCCGAAGCCAGGATCGGATCAGCCTGCCTGGTGTTAGCACTTTTAAAACTGCCTGAGGGCTGGCACCGCAGTTCACTAGTCTAATCCTCTGCCTGCGGTGCTGGTGTCCCGGGTTCTAGTCCCTGTCGGGGCACCGGTTCTGTCCCAGTTGCTCCTCTTCCAGTCCAGCTCTCTGCTGTGGCCTAGGAGTGCAATGGAGGATGGGGCAGGTACTTGGGTCCTGCACCTGCATGGGAGACCAGGAGAAGCACCTGGCTCCGGATCGGTGCAGCGTGCTGGCCATAGCGGCCATTAGAGTGGTGAACCAACAGAAGGAAAAAAAAAAAAAAACTGCCTGAGGTTATTGTTGGAACACTCTTAGGTCAGAATAAAAACATATCAGTGTAGAAAAGGAAGAGATTTTTATGCTAGAAAGGAGGAGGAGGAAGGAGAGGTGAAGGAGGAGAAAGGAGAAGGAGAGGAGAAGGAAGGGGAGGGAGAAGATGAGAAGGAGGAAGAGACATAGCGTATTACAATTCAGGGATAATGAATATCCCTGTCTGTAGTATACATATAATAAGTATCTTAACTTTTCCATGAAGGATGGTTAGAGCCATGTGATTGAATAAAAGTAACTGTTTCTTATACAGAAAAGCCACATACACATAAAACTAAACATTTCAGCTAAATCACGGCTTATTTTCCAATCATTAGAAAGAAAAAAATTTACTCATACACACACTTGGAAAGTAGTACAACTCTGTACTGATGTGACACTGGCTATTTAAAGTGAGAAGCTCGTCTTCTTACCACACTATTATTCTCAGTGGAGAACAGAGAGTCTTCTCAAAAAAAAAAAAAAAAAAAAAAAAAAAAAAAAAAAAAAAAACAAACAAAACAAAAAAAAAAAACTGAGGAACTGAGGTTGGACAGTATTTATGCAAAAAGAAACATTTGAGAACCTCATACATACATATACAAAAACTAACAGTGAATTGGGTTAAATAGAGTTATTATATAAATATAAGGCAAAAGTCAATGCACTAAATATTTTTTTAAGAATTTATTTATGTATTTGAAAATCAGTTACACAGAGAGAGAAGAGGCAAAGAGAGAGAGGTCTTCCATCTGCTGGTTTACTGCCCAACTGGCCACAATAGCTGTAGCTGTTCCTTTCCGAAGCCAGAAGCCAGGATCTTCTTCCGGGTCTCCCACGTGGATGCAGGGGCCCAAGAAGTTGGGCCATCTTCTACTGCTTTCCCAGGCCCTAGCAGAGAGCTGGATCAGAAGTGGAGCAGCTGGGACTCAAACTGGCACCCATATGGAGCACTACAAATGCCTGCCTCAAAGAACAAAATATTGATAGACTCCATCAAAATAGTAAACTTTCATATAATTATTTATTTATTTTTATTTGAAAGGAGAGAGACAGTGAGAGACAGAAATCTCCCTGTTGCTCATTCATTCCCCAAATGCCTGCAACAGATAAGGCTGAGGCAGGCCAAAGCCAGCAACTGGAAACTCAGTCCAGATCTCCCATGTGGGTGACAGAGACTCAAGTACTTGAGCCATCACCAGCTACCTCCCAGGTTGTGCAATAGCAGAAAGTTGGAATCAGAAGTAAAGCTATGATGCAAATCCAGGCACTCTGATATGGGATACAGGTATATACTAGGAGTAGTCTTTTTTATTTAACATTTATTTATTTATTCTCCTCTTGACAATTTGAAAAAAATCATTTAAAAAATTAAAATATAGTCACAGGTGATAAAATATATGTATATTCATTTTAAAGGACTTATATTTGGAATATATAAATAAAACTTACAGCTCAATACCAAAACAAAAACCCTAACTTAAAATGTGAAAAATGTTTGAATAGAAAAGATTTATGAATGGCTTATAAACACATGAAAACACAGTCAACATCACCAGCCATTAACAGAGAGATATTAAAACCACAGTTAGGTACTACTCACACTAAAATCATCATCATCATCAAAAAGTCAGATAATAATAACAAGTATTGGTGAAGATCCAGAATACCTGGAAAACTCAGCTGCTACTGGTGGGAATATAAAATGGTATAGCCACTTTGGAAACTTTGGCAACCTCCTAAGAAGTTAAATACTAAATTATCATATGAGTACAAGAAAATTAAACATGTCCACATAAACCTCTGTACCAGAGTGTTCATAACAGCACCATTATTAATAGCCAAAATCATGTAGTGACCCCAAGTCCATAAACTAACAGATTCATGAACAAAATGTGATCTATCCAGAAAGCAGAATGTTGTTCAGCACTGACAGGTAACCAGCACTGATAGTGCCATCACGTGAGTGAAAGAAGCCAGACAGGAAAATGCGAACTCTTATGTGAGTCTACTCCTAGGAAACAAGCAGAAATGTAGCATCTGTATAGCAGAGAGTGGCTTCTGGACTAACAATGGGAGTGGGGTTGACTACATATGGGGAGAAGAGGTACTGTGTTACTGTGATAAAAATGTTCTAAAACTGGATTATCATCATAGTTGCACTGCTCTGTAAATTTTCTAAGCCTCTGAGATACATACTTAAAATGCATGTGTTTATATCAATACTGTTTTAATAAAGCTAATTAAAATTGATCACAAAGAAATTATATAATACATTGTACCCTAGGACAGTAACTTTTCAATACTAATTGAATCATTGATGCTTCTCATAATCTTGAAAGACTTGAAATAAACACCAACCCTCTATTACCCAAGTTACTTTAAAGGGCCCTGAGAGCAATTCAACAAAGCAAAACAGTGTCCCTCCATCTGAAGGTACTATTAACCTCCGTGCTACATGGATTCATGAACATCTGATTTCTTTAGTTCATAGCCAGAAAGAAACATATTTTAGCAGCAGTGATTTTTGGTGTTTATCAATGATGTTATTCGTGGAGAAATCAAAGTTTTACAAAGAGACTAATGATTTGTCCTTGCTTCCTTTTAAAATAAAGTTACAGAACTACACCCCTGTATATAGTTCTTGAAACACATGGTTTTTCCTAGTTTCTGGGAAAACTTATACTTCTATATTAAATTCACTCTATAGCAGAATATATCGAATTTCAATATACAAGTGGCTGTTCTTGTTAACCATACTTTATGAATCAATTTAAATTTTTAACGTTAAACATTAGGGGAATTTTAATAGAAATTTCCAATGAAAAATGCTCCTGTGATATACCAATGTTGCAAATTGAGCAAGCCCCCCTCCCCATGGTTACACCTTAATGAACAAAACCATTACATTTCCATCAGACCATCATAAACAGGGAGGTTCAATCAATAATAATCACAATTAGGACATGCCAAAATATTACTAATGGCTTGGTTTATTCATCATTACTACAGTAAAATATTCATCATTAATTCACTTTTCTTGTCTTGGGAGGTTTAAAAATAATTGAAACAAAATTAAAAAAATATTAAGGCACCCTATACACATGCCCCGGGTACACAAAAATGAACTAAGTGTGTTTCCATTCCTGAAGGAGCTTGGAGTAATGAGGAGAAATCAAACATACAAACAAATTTTTACAATTCCTTATGCCAAGTAATTTAATAATGAAATGAGTGAGTGATTCTTGAATGAGTAAACAACAGGAAATAAGCACTTAGCAGCCAAAAACTGAATCAGTGCTATGTTCCAACTCTATTATTTCGTTCCAATGTATCTAAAATAACATAACACAAATCAAATAGGTAATGCTTCTTCCCTCTGTCCCTCACCTGCACCAGTGAACATTATGTGGTAGAAGTCAAGCTTCCGGCCATGATGTTTGAGTCGCTACCTCAACAGATTAAAGAAGGGCAACTGCTTCATGTGCACCCAGTTCTTTTTAATGTTGGAATCAATGAGCAGCAAACTCTTGCTGAGAGGTAAGCTTTGGGTATAACATTGGCATTTGCTTTTTCTTATTTTGTTGCTTGTTTTGGAGAATGCTGGGAAATCCTATATGTTTCTGCACATAGAATTTAGATTTGTGGATAGCATTTTCCTTTTTATCAGTACCAATTTGTTTGATATAACAAGGTAAAATATTGAGTTTTAAATAATCTTGCTTCAGATCAAATTTAAATGTGGGAAAAACAGAGGGACATATTGGTACTAATACAAAATTATTCACATAGACAACACAGTATCTATTTGTGGAAGACATTTTAGTAATTCCATGTTCATATATATCAATATTATAAACTCAGCTAATTGTGTAAAAAACTGTGGATTTAAAAGTCTTTTTTCCCTTTTGCAATATTTATTTTTAGTAACATTCAAATATCTTTTTTGTAATAACTTCCTCTGCCAGACTACAAATGATTATACATGATCACGCAAGTCACTGTAAAAAATGCTTTTTTAAGCAAAGTACATTTGCATTTAACATAGTTTACGAGTAGAGATATCAGAAAATTTTGCGAACACTTAAAGTTCACAGAACAGAGCGTTAAAATATTTTAGAGAAAGATGTCATTAGTTTGCTGTAAGGCCTCATTGGAAAAATTCCCCCACAGGTAGAATTTTGGAGAATTTGATAGTTTTGTATTTAAAATACTTTCTTGTCCAAAATTTACTCTCTAAATGTCTCCTTCCTTCCTAGGTAACATTTTAAATGTGTTTAAATATATTCCTTATTGTGACTTGTTAAATACATTGTAGGCCGTCACAAATGTCTTTTACTAAATCAAAAATATTACAACTGTTATAACCCTCTTGAATGCCAAAACTGTTCATGACTCCTGTTGCCATCTATTATTTTCAAACTATTTCTCCTCCTTTGCCTCTTATCAAAAGGTATTTCCTGGACATCACAGATTTCCATAATTTTAATTTGTCAGTTACAAAGTAGATAACAAAGGTTTATATTACATCGTAGTTTCCAACTATGGAAATGCTTTTAATCTCTTCTTGCAGTATATATAAATCAGAATATAATTTTATTTTATTGTATAAGAATCTTTCAGTGATAATTAAATGTGTTTGAAATTCAATATCTAAGATTATTTTATATTCCATATATATATTCCATATATACATTCCATCTAATGTTTTAAATGGATGATATTCCTGAACTTAAATTATACACCCTGGGGGGAAAAATCAGCACTCTAAATTGTCTCTCCTTTGTGACATTACAGTATGCAGTGTTTTTGGTTTGAATTAGTAAGTCAAGGCTTGTGAGTGTGATCTTGAGAGAGAAATGAGAGTCTTATATTTATAGACTTTTCAAGGACTGGATAGCCCTGCATTTTCAAGGCTTCTTCAGTAGATTAATTTGCATCACTCATGACATTGTGACTATTTTAGTTGTCAGTCAACTACTTAACAGATGTCTCTCTCAAACCCTTCTATCACTCTTACATATTAAAAATGCATTTTGTAGATACCTGTTATCTGTATAAGGCACACAAGACTTTCAGGAAAAACAGCAAAGTAGGGAAAAATACTGAGAGAAGCAGGAAAGCTGAATTTAATTAGCACTCTGTTATCCACCAATTATTGACGAGCAAATCTCTTCCACTGTGCTCTCTGAGCTTCCTTTATATAGTTCTGAATTTTGAACTTTACCAGCTTGCACGTGCATCTTATATGTGCTATGTCCTCAAAGTCTAATATTTTACTACATATCTACACCAAACCAAAACATGTTACAGATATCCATTCTTAAATAAGGAAGTACTAAGTTCTACAACAAAATACCATAGACTAGGTGACTTAAAAGAAAATTTTGTCATAGTTCATGAGGCTGGGAAGTCCAAGATCAAGATTCTACCCAATCTGTTGTTTTTCATTAGTGGGCTTTTCCTGGCTTGCTGGTGAATACTGTTGGTCTCACTGTGTGCTCACACGAACTCTTCCATGTGTTCACAGAGAGAGGGAGGCTCCATTCTGCTAAGGGCATTATTCCTATAGGTTCAGATATCAACTCCCACAACCTCATGTAACCTTAATGACTTCTTCAGAGACTCCTCACTAAACAGAGTCATACCTGGGGTTCAGGCTTTAGCATATATATTTTTGGAGGATACAACATTTTGACCATTATACTAATGCTATTTTTAAAGCATTGGTCAATTGGTCATTCTAGTAAAAAAGTTAGAAAACTTATTCCAGAGCATAAGGAAACTCTCCTATAGCGTTTTCTCCAAGTTCAACTCAGTATAGAAATTGGACATTGACTCTGTACCAGACAGTACTCTGCCAAGCCACAGGGCACAGGAAGAATAGTGACAAGAAGCACAAGATATGATCAGTGTTCTGAATTAATTTACCATCCACTAAGGAGCCACATTAAAAATATTACTCTACAGTTTGAATCCTGCAATAATCACAGATGTAAGGAAGGAAATAGGGCAAGAGAGAAAAAGATTCACGGAAGCCGTTCCCTTCATGGGAATCAGAAAACATGAGGCTTCTTCTGGGCTTTGAGGGATGAATAAGACTCCATCAAACCAATGAAGAAAGTAAGGCATTCTTGTCAGAGGAAGGTTAGCATTTGAAAAGTCCCAGGGCCATTAGATACTGCACTGAAAGTGCTAAGTATAACTACATTCCCACTGGATGTTTTGGAAGCAATTGTGGAGAAGTTAGGTATAAAACTACAGAGACTGGACTTTGCCCTTTCAGGGAGAGGGGAGACAGAGCTGATAATGATGAAATGTGTGTTACATTAATTTTTCCAACATTTTGGGTATTGCACAGTGCAATGGCTGGTACATGGTTGATGTTAAATTTATATTTGTTGGTAAATGAATGGTCTGACCATGCTGTCAAGGATGGACTGGAAGAGAAGAGACTGGAAGCATAGTGCTGGACACTTGGGAGGCTTTGAGAGAGTCCAAACTGGATATGATTAAATACCTAATATTAATGGCAGAGGTATGGTGGATATAATTATCAATGAATAGTGAGTGAGGTGAGGTGATGGAAAATGAGAGAATCCAAAACAGTGTGTAGATTTTGAGCCTGAGAAAATGACAAAGTATTGGGGGCAGGCTTAGAAATATTGTTTAAAAATGAGGTAGTTTCCAGTTTTGTGTTATGTTGCATTTGAAGTGGGGTGAGAAGCTCACATTGAAAATTTCAGCTGACATCTTGAAAGACAGGTTTGGGTGGAGATACAAATTGGAAGCCGTTTTCTCAGAATCCCTTTATAGAGATGGACACGTGCACTGTGAGTTTGAACCTGGGAAGTGCTCGAAGAGAAGACAAGTTCAGTGACACGGAGGCAGAAAGGTTGGTCTGGAAGAAGAGGCAGAAGAGCACGGGTGCAGACGCTGGCCCTTGTGGCATGGGCGGAAGTGAACTACTCTCCAGGAGCGGGGAGTGCTCTTCCTGTGCCTGTACTCGCAGACAGAGTGTGCCAGAGTGCATGCAGCCCAGTGTGCAGTCCTGGTCTTCTGGACTCCTCTGAGAGTTGTCAAGGGTAAAGAGGAAAATTAGGCAGATATAAAGAAAGAGGATTTTTAAAATACATGGAAAAATGCAGCTCCTCAGGAGAAGTACAGGTTAGTTTGGGCAAACTGACATTGGCCGAGTACCAATTATGCACATGCTTGGGGGCCTGTGTTTTACAATTGGTATTTCATTTCTGTTCACTTTTGATGATTGTGAGACTACTTGAGTGTTTCAGAAGTGATTAGTAGAATCACGCCAGTAGACTAGAGCATGCTGAATTCACCATTGTGTAATGTAACTTTAAAAAGTAAGAGCCGGCCGGCACCGCGGCTCAATAGGCTAATCTTCCACCTAGCGGCGCCGGCACACTGGATTCTAGTCCCGGTCGGGGCGCTGGATTCTGTCCCGGTTGCCCCTCTTCCAGGCCAGCTCTCTGCTGTGGCCCGGGAGTGCAGTGGAGGATGGCCCAAGTACTTGGGCCCTGCACCCACATGGGAGACCAGGAGAAGCACCTGGCTCCTGCCATCGGATCAGCACGGTGTGCCGGCCACAGCACGCTGGCTGTGGCGGCCATTGGAGGGTGAACCAATGGCAAAAGGAAGACCTTTCTCTCTGTCTCTCTCTCTCACTGTCCACTCTGCCTGTCAAAACAAAACAAAACAAAACAAAACAAAACGTAATAACCTGCCTCCAAAAGGAAACTGTTGACATCCATATAAAAAGAAAAATAAGAAGTATTAATAATTCCCGGTGCTATTTTACACCCCATCATTACTTTTCTGTTTCTATTTTTAGATTTGGAGATGTCTCTTTGCAAGAAAATATTAATCAGGAAAATTTTGAACTTCTAAAAGAATATTATAAAACATTTATGGAAAAGATGCCTCCTGATTGTAAGTATGCAAGTTACAGAAGACAACAATACTAATTTCTTGATTATAAATCTTCACTAGAGGTTAGACATAGAGGTCAACAGACTAAAGAAGCATAGGGTGAGGAATTGAGAGTGTTTTGAGTTTATCTGAACTAAACAGACTGATTGCCAAGGTGGCAAGGCTTACACCTGCTTCATTACCTTGATTGCTGTCTTGAATGTTCATGCCAGAACATTAATTTCAGTGCCATTAAAAATGCAAAAAAAGGTAAAACTATGGAACTTATGAATAGAAATCTCAGTTGATTCCAAAAAAATTTTTCTGTAATTCTTAACCATGTAAAAGACTTTCAGAAATATTTAAATCTCCAATTAATAAACTACATCAGGCATAACACACCTGTATAAGGAGAAAATAAAATTGAATTTAAGGGATGCAAGCTAATACTAAGTAATGCAAAATGAGGCAACCAATTTACTGAATATATTTGTTGCAATATTTTGTGCAAGAGAGTTATACACTTTTGCGGGGGCCGGTGCATGGCTCACTTGGCTAATCCTCTGCCTGTGGCACCAGCATCCCATATGGGCACCGGGTTCTGTCCTGGTTGCTCCTCTTCCAGTCCAGCTCTCTGCTGTGGCCCGAGAGGGCAGCAGAGGATGGCCCAAGTGCTTGGGTCCCTGCACCCGCACGGGAGACCAGGAAGAAGCTCCTGGCTCCTGGCTTTGGATTGGTGCAGCGCTAGCCGTAGCAGCCATTTGGGGAGTGAACCAATGGAAGGAAGACATTTCTTTCTGTCTCTCTCTCTCACTGTATATAACTCTACCTGTCAAATAAAATAAATATGTTTTACACTTTGGAATTTTTTTTTGCCATTTTTCAGTTCTACAACTCTTTTTCTGACAGTATTAAGCTCAAAACAGTCAAGCCTTCCAAATCAGAGAATCAGGAATGTGTTTAAGTTCATCTATAAATAACATTAATGTTCTGAGATATTGAGATATGCATGATGATAAGAATCTAGTCTTAGTAAAGTAGAAAATATTTCTGTATTTTTAACAAAAATCAGTAATCAAAGTTGATACGTCACCTATTCAGTTAATTTGTTCAGTGGATTATAGTAAATTACTTAATTTGAAATACATTAGGTATCAAAGTGTTTAAATTTTTGTAACCCAATGAATTTTGTAGCAAAATATAATGGCATATGTATGCCCTTGTAGAGACAGACAATTTCAATTGAAGTTTTTATTTTTACCTTATCAAATGGCAAGTGTTATAAAAAATTTCATCTAAGTTGAATAGGTACAGATATTTTTCTTGTCATTATTCTCTAAGCAATACAACAATTGTTTGCATTGTATTGTATTGTATATCATAAGATCTAGAGATGATTTGAAGTATATAGGAAGATATGCTTTGATTTATATGCAAATAATATGCCATTTCACATAAGAAATCCATGGATTTTCATATCCACAAGGATCCTGGAAACAATCCCTCATGAATATTAAGGAACTACTGTAATACATATGTGAAATTGATATTTAATAGAGCTATTAATACCTGTTGTGTCTGGATATTGTGTGTGGTGGATTTTTCCCTCCCAGTTTTCTTTGTCTAGTGATATAGCTCTCAGCAAGCTGGTCACCCTGTCATGACTGTTTAGAATCAGGAAATGTTCAGGAGTTCTTCCCTTCGGTACTTACTTGTGATATTCACCTGTTCCTATGACTAACGGGAAATTCCAGTGAACAGGCACTAGTGCTTCTTCCTCTTCTTGCTCTGATCCTCACATTGGGCTTGATGATCTGACACATTTTTAAAAAGATTTTATTTATTTATTTGAGATGTACAGTTACAGACAGTGAGAAGGAGAGATAGAAAGAAAGGCCTTCCAACCCCTGGTTCACTACCCAAATGGCTGCAATTAGCCAGAGCTGAGCTGATCCGGAGCCAGGAGCTTCTACCTCGTCTTCCATGTGGCTGCAGGAGCCCAAACGCTTGGGCCATCTTCTACTGTTTTCCCAGGTCATAGCAGAGAGCTGGTTAGGAAGTGGAGCAGCCGGGACACGAAACAGTGCCCATTGGTGTGGGGAGCAACTGGGAGCAACTCGGACTAGACTAAGTTACTGGAATTAAGACTTATTCTATGCATCTGCTTTCCCACAATATGGCGCTGAGAAGGGAAACAGCTTCTACACAGCTGCCTCCAGTTCAACCAATAAACTGTGGGACCTGCTCCTGATTGGAGGAGAGCAGCGTACTTGGCGTGTGGGTAGCAGAGTTGGGATTGGTGGAAGAGGACTATAAAGGAGGAGAGAGACGGCATGCACCAGGAACATCTAAGGGGAACATCTATCTGAAGGAACACCTGTGCAGCCCCCGAGAGAGCCGGCCGGCGGTGTGCCGCTCCCCCGCGGAAGTGGGGAAAGTGGCCAGGGGGAACCGCCCTTCGACGGAGGTGGAAGGGTCGGTAGCCAACCCGGGAAGAACCAGCAGCAAACCCGGGGAGGGCCGAGCAGACGAAAGAACAGCGCAGGGTCCTGTGTCGTTCCTCCACGAAGACGGGGAGCGACAATTGGGATGCCTGTGCTGCAGGTGGAGAATTAACCTGTGCCAGAGCGCTGGCCCCAACATAGTTTTTAAGTCCCTTTCTATGACCACCTAAAGCATTAAGGCATTTACATTTCACATTATCAATAAAATAGAGAATTTCTATAAATCTGGCACAAGCTACTTGATGTTTCAGAGTCAGTTAGTAAAAGGTGCAGATAAAGCGCTTCTTTCTCATTTGAGGGAGGTGGGACTGTCAACTTAGAACATCCAAACTCTCTGTTATCTTTTGCGCTTTATTCAAAACCAAGGAGAAAGGTATTTCCATATAGGCCTATTGGAATTCCAGCACTGTGCACTCCTCTTTTAGCACTGCAAGGGAGTGGAGTCTAGCACTGTGAGTTAAGAAAGAATGATATTCAGGGCTTTGTGAGAGGTTCCAAATGCTTTCTAGAATGTTTGACATCTTTGTGAGAATTGCATGCAAAAATACTTTTTTTGAAAAGAATCTTAGTTTTGTGATAAGTGGCACATTTTCATATATAGAAGCCTGGAAACGTCACATTCTTTTTAGCAGGCGTTAGTGGAGCTGAAACAGTGCTGATCACTGTGGATGATGTAAGATTAATAGCGTACGGTCTATGGGCCTACAAGCTGGCAGTTTAATAATTTAATATAGTCAATAAGTAATCTACATTAATTCTAAGCTTCTTTCCAGAATCACGCTTGCTATTTTTGAGTGTTGATCCTATTTCTAAATAATTTAAGGTTTTTTTTTTTTTATTGTTGGTGGTATTCAGTAAGTCTCACTTTCTCCTTGATGATTTCCTAAAGTCATTGTGTGCTCATTCATTGTCACACATTTCATTTTTACATTAAGAAAAACAAAACAGACTATGCATTCTTTCCATTTGTAAAATTACTAAAATAAGAACCTAATATTATAGATAATTTAGTATAGAGAAATTATTTGAATATTTTATGTAGCCCTCATAGAGAATAAAAGCATATAAGAACATTATAGGAAGAAAATAATCCTAAGTAGAAGACAAGGATGGTTAAGAAACCCACAAAAATGGAGAAATTATTTGATACAAAAGAAAATAACATAATTCAGAGGAAGATGAGCAAGAACATAAAATCTATTAATGAAAGAAGAATGAAGATTAAAGGCAAGCTATTGGATTTAGTCGGTTATGAATCATTAATGGCATTTGATAGACAAGTTTTAATAAGAAATCATGGGATGAAAATACATTACAGGGATGTAAGGAGAGACCATGTGTTGGGTAGGTAAACACTGAGAGTGAAAACTACCCGCTTAGGACAGTTGGCTGTAACACCTGAAGAATTCCAGAAATCATAGAGAACTCTTGAGGATTGATGTCCTGTGTACAAAACATTTTGAAAGGGTTTGAAGTCTAATTTAGGATTGGTCTTCAGAGCCCTGCTTGTCCACCTTTGTCTGTCTGCTCTTCAGAGTCTTTTTTGTTGTTGTTGTTGTTTTTAACTTTTATTTAGTAAATATAAATTTCCAAAGTACAGTTTATGGATTACAATGGCTTTCCACCCCCATAACTTCCCTCCCACTCGCACCCCTCCCATCTCCCGCTCCCTCTCCCATTCCATTCACATCAAGATTCATTTTCAATTATCTTTATATACAGAAGATCAGTTCAGTATATATTAAGTAAAGATTTCATCAGTTTGCACCTACACAGAAACACAAAGTGTAAAATACTGTTTCAGTTCTAATTATAGCATTATTTCACATTGGACAACACATTAAGGACAGAGATCCCACATGAGGAGTAAGTACACAGTGACTCCTGTTGTTGATTTAACAAATCACCCGAGGCTCTTGTCATGAGTTGCCAAGGCTATGGAAGACTTTTGAGTTCACCAACTTCGATCTTAATCAGACAGGGTCATAGTCAAAGTGGAAGTTCTCTCCTCCCTTCAGAGAAAGGTACCTCCTTCTTTGATTGCCCCGTTCTTTCCATTCCAGAGTCTTTTTGATAGCTTAGAGGAATAAACCTTGAAAAAAAAAAAAAGATCATATTCACACCCACTTTTAACTTTAAAAATAAGATCAATCATCATTTTCTCTGATATCTTCTTAATCTTTTTGTCATAATTAATATCCAGTTCTTAAAAATAAAATGTGTGAAAGCCAGGCATGCATGGTAAGAATTCTGTTTAGTTTACTGAACTAACATTTGATTAATGGAGTGAAATTTATTTAAAGCTGAAGTATTTTATGTCACTGGCATTTACATTTTCATGTTTCTATATTTTTTGTGTTTCATATTTCAATTTTTCTTAACTGTCATTTAAAAATAGATTAAAGGAACAAAGTTGGTTAAAATCAGGAAAATTATTAAAAAATTAAAACTCAATGTAAAATTTATAAAAAAATAACAGGACTTCAGAGGGATAAGTAAACCTAAAAATGAGAGGAT